CAAACAGTGTTCACATTTTTTGGGACACCCTGTATATAGCCATTCTGCTGGCAAGCGCCAGGGCAAGGAGAGGTTCGGAGGCGATTGTGGCAATGCTTGTGGAACATTTTCGAAAAGATAACAGAAAAGTTTTGAAACAGCAATTTTCTTCCAGATTTCATAGAAACAGGGGTTTGTTGGGTCCTAGCGAATTACTTCATCTACTCATGTCATACTTACAGCTCTTGCGTGGTTCAGCCTTGCTATCATGCTCAATGTTCGTAAGACCGATCGCGATCAAACGGTCAAGGCTTTGGTCATGTACACAGCTGCAGGTCCCAGGTACATTATATAATTCAATCTACGTTATGCTTTATTATGTGTGTTTCCTAACTGATCTTAAGCGAAAGCCAAGCTAACCTCCCCATTGCAGAGCTAAAGTCAGGAAACTAGGCTCACGTCTTCGAACCGTCACAAGAATGTTAATGACAATGGTTTGCTGCTATCTTGCTGCCAACATTATCGACGTCATTGTCGCTTTCTGGGAGGTAACTGACTCCAGAAAGTTCACGAAATCCCATAAAACGAGCTATTTCCAGACAATCGACATAAAATCCCTTTATGCTAATGAAGGCTTCTACACAGTGACAACGGACATATCGTCCTTTTTAACAATTCTGGCTTGTTCTCTGCGTCCCCCGATTTGTGTCATCAATGATAAGCAGATAAGAACTGCGGTATGTTGAGATTACGATTTTTGAGATATCAGGGAGGAACCATGTGGTTGAGACCAACTTTCGAATTATAGTAGGAAGCATGTGAGATTAAGCTTGTTTGTGACTGCTCTAGACTACAACTGTCAGAACTGAATGTTGTGGTTATAGAAATGGCATTACCCCCTTTTTTGTCAGCAAAAGACCTTGAGATATTTTAGCTAACTCCTCTCCAAACCAGGCTACTAGGAAGAGTCCAATGACCCGAGAGTTCACTTGATTAGTAGGAATGTGGTGAATAAATTAATCATATGTGATCAAGATCAAATTAAACTACTTTAAGCTATGGATGCCAAATGCTTCGATCCTTGGACATCCAGATAGTACAAGTCTAACAAGAATGATATTGAAAAATTCAAACCTATTGTTCGCACCTCCTGCTAGCAATCTGCTCATAGAACAGTTATCAGCAAAAAATTTTCAAGCCTTCTAATTCTAAGTACGCTCATAGATCGAAACTAAGAAGCCACACAGTGAAGGAGTGATTGAGCAAACAGCAGATTTTTGCTACAGTGGAGATATGGGTGATGTGCCTCCAGAAATGTATAATTTTAGGTTTTTCGACAGTTGCAAGACCTTCACCATCGCTTATGGGGTTGTTGCCC